TAGGATTGTGGTAATCCTCAAACATCTTCATGCAAATAGAAAGGTTAATCACGTATGTTACAGAGAAGGTATCAGGGAAGGATTTGCATTTTACTGAAATAGATTTGTAAAGTAAAAATATTGTAGTTTATAGTTAGAATGAAGCCGCATTCTCATTTTTCGCTTGAAGTAAAATTGACGATCTAAGGATATATTCTAATGTACTTGAAACGGGACTGGAAAACACTTATTTTACATTCCTTATTGAGCTTCAGGGACTTGTTTATTATTTAAATACTCTTATACATAGGCCTACACAGCTTTCAAAGCGTGGTAATGTTATCTGCTATTCATTATTCGGTTTGTTTATTTTCCTTTGTTATGACGTATAATAATGTCGCTTCGTGTATAAGATAATGTGCAATCAAACTGACCAGATCAAAAACCGAGAAATAATTAGTACCTGTGCTAGCATAAGGCTATACAAAGCGAAGATTGCCTGAAATTAGCATAACTTTGAAGCAAATTTCCATAAAGTTAATGTTCCTAAAGCAATGATACCGGGGTGGAAAGAATCGATCTTTTGAGCAGAAAGATACGAGTCTTTGAACGTGCTCTGTTCATATACGTTCCGACTTCGACATTTATCCCATAACCATATTTTCAATGATTCTGTTCAACTTCTAACGCGAAGAGAACTACAAAGTAATTTTCAAACAAAAATTTTCAACAATAGGATTGAAACATAAGGTGCATTGAAATCCCTACGAGTTAATTCTGCGCTGTATTTAAACTTCATAAATATCGCGTATATCCCAAATTCAGTTTTTCATATTTTTTGCTATGATCCTAGCCATAATATCTTTTCTAACTGAAATCGTAAAATGAATACTACTTTATGTAATCACAGCATGTGTCAGTCTGTCCAGAAGACAGTTAGGTAATGAATGTCCGTTCAGCTAACGCTATGGTGGAATCAGAAACTACAGTTCTACTAAGTGCTGGTTGTGTAGAACCAGCAGTAGTGTAACAACAGGAACATTCCAGAGGGAATCATTTGAAAAGTACTGTCATATCCATGGCCCCTTGGGACTAGCCAAATGTTCAACGTAAAAGTGAATATATTCGTATTTAACGTAGGTGATCTACTAAAATTTCAAGAAATGTAAGAATAAAGGGTATGTATATACGCCTAATACAAACACAGTCATAGATCACAATGAAATGAAAGAAAAGGTTAAAATTACATCTCTGGTTGCAATTAAAATAAAATATTAACCTACAAAAATATAACGAAAATTTTAAATTTAAATAAAGTAGAAGTCCCCGAACTGTAAGAATTACAGCAAAAGTAATGCAAACCTTAAGAATGATACAGCATCAATAGTTTACATCAGTGGTATTCAAACGTTTTTGTTCGCGTACCCCCAGATATAATTTCTCTTCAACTTTGTACCCCCAAAGTTGTTGGTGTATAATTCAACTTATACATAGTATATAATCTACATCTGAATTAATTTATATAAATTACATTACTGATTTTTCAGCCTATTAGCACAGTTGCAACAATAATTTTAATTTTTATATTAATATTAACTCCAAACACATTTTGGATTTATATATAACATGTTACGTTATATATACTTTCTTATATATATATATATATATATAAGGTATATTTTAAATTTTATTTATTTCATAATAGGCATATTTGTCTACCGCAAAGATTTAGTGAGAACTACGTCGTTCTAGTGTTCCAATCATTAGAAATATATTTTTTCCCTGTCAACAATTACCGAGAAAAGAATTCTCGTCAAATGTTAGGTTATAACATGGTAGAAGCTGAATCTTACACGAGTTTTACGTTTCTATTTCAGCAAATGGCGATGGAGCGAGTAATCTACAAGTTTCGGTCGCGGCTATGACAGTCTATTGGGTGATTCAACTTGTCGCTGCTTCAACATGAAGAAAACTAATGCATACACAAGAGAACTGCACATTTATATAAGTTGCTGTTATTCCCTATTTAGCTCAAGCCTTTTTCTCCCTTTTCCATGGATACGCAGACAAGAAACAAGCAGTTTGTTGAGGTTAAGTCACGTAAAAAAAATTTAAAAACAAAACTTTAATCACAACTCCAAAGAAAATAAAATGTTTAAACAATGGAACCAAATAAGAATTCTGTAATATTACAAGACGGAGATGTTACATTGTTGAGTTTGTCAACGAATGTAGTTATTTCTAACTCCTAGGCCAAACTGTCTGTAATTTAATATTTGGTTGTCTTTGTTGAAATTTCAACATGTGTACGAGTGAATGCACTACATCTCAATCTTACCAAAACTTTGCCACAATATAAAAACTATTAAACACGCAAACATTAATCTAATTCAACGTTAAATTCCACAGAAATTGATAGATAGAGACGGGAATGGATGATTTTTGCGGAGTTACAAACAACTACCTACAGAAATACTACAAAATGATTCACAATGCAGCTGAAATGCTTGTGCATCAACTCTTTTGACTTACGAAAAATGACAGGGACTTCATGTACGCTACAACCTGCACAATGCAGTAAATACAATGGGCTTGTTCTTGATAAACTTTGCACTGTTGCCAAGTAGTTTCTTATTTATGCTCGATCGATTATAAAAATATTTCCTATGTTTTATTACAAACCTTAGAATTCGTTTCACTTCTAAGGTACGCGAATCATTGTATTTTTTTTTTTCGTTGGAACGTTCGACAAAACTGGAATCTACAAAGACTCGAATAAGTGTAAAAATATTGGCGTATTTTAACTGTGGGATAACTTTAATTCTAATGTTGACGTAGTATGAATTTATAGGCCATATCAAACGATTGGGAAGTTTTGCATTTAGACTATTTAGTATACTACTGAAGGAGGGAATTTTGCAGGGCAGGTTTTATATTGATACACGACGTACGAAAAAATAATTTATATCCGGTGGTTAATCATGTTCTATATTTGAATTTCTAAATTAAACCACATTTACACGATACATTTCACTTTATAATACCGCTTTAATGGTTTATACACCACTCATACTTGTAAATACGGGGGAAAAGAAATGTAGTTTGATAATTTTAAATTTTACTCTTTCAGTGGCGAAAACATAACAAAAAAATATTTACCCACTTGCTAAATAACCTCACAGTAGTGACAACGTAGAATTATTTCCCAGATTCTCAAAACAGGACTTTCCTCTCCTGCAAAAACACTCATCTAATGGATGAAACTTTGTTATTATCAATTTTCTTTATAAATGTGTAATGTATACAAAGAATTAAAACTCTCATGAATATCACGTAGCGTGTTGTGTTCTTATCGAGTGCCATTAATTACATTACTTATTAACTTTCTTAAATATTCATACGCAGTTCGTTCTGGAAGGAGAAAAGAGTTCACTCAACACACACAAAAAAAGGAAAATCCACGTTGAATAGTAAATCCGTATGCATAAATTCTAACGATTATAAAAATGCTATTTAAGTAACTTAAGTGTCAAAGTAGCAGTTCAACATAATTACCCTTTTTATTAAACAATTTCCAACCATCAAATTACAGTTTACGAACTTTCCAGAGGTCCTTGCTGCCTCCATTATCAGGGTGATGAGTCTACACGGAACTACACCCGGAAGACACTCGCGGCCGTGAGAACCTCAAAACGTACTAATAATTTTACCTACCATTTACTACATAGAAACGAAATTTAGTCTGTCATCTAGACCAGTGGCATTCAACCTTTTTTGTTCGCGTACCCCCAGATATAATTTTTCTTCAACTTTGTACCTCCAAAGTTGTTGGTGTATAATTCAAGTTATACATAGTATATAATCTACATCTAAAATAAATTAAATAAATTACATTACTGATTATTCAGTGTTTATCTTCTTTTTTTTAAATTTCACGTACCCCCTAAGATGTCTTCGCGTACCCCCGGAGGTACGCGTACCCCAGGTTGAATACCACAGACCTAGAGGTATGAAAAGAGGGTTATGAAGAGGGCATTTGAAGCCAACAGGGATGAAATGACAGGATAATGAAAATGTTTAATGGCGAGATTCATGATTTGTACCTTCGTTAAACATTAGCGTGATAAGACCAAGTAGGATGCAAAGTGTTAGAAGGTTTGGAGGATAATACTGAAGTTTAAACTTAAGAAATAATAGGATATGACGGTGTGGACTGGAAACTGGCTCAGTACACAGTCCAGTGTTAGGATCTTGCGAAAATTCTGGTTCTTCGCGCAGTTCTTGTGTGTCCTAAGGGGAAAAAAAAAACCCTTGCGGGCCGCCGATTGCGTGTTCAGTGTTACAAAGTTAGTCACGACTCAGCAAATTACATCTGACACAAACCCACAACCAGCTACTGATACAACCCGATGGTGAAACACTGCTCATACAAAAACCCAGCAGAAAACACGACACCGCGACTGTTCAACCGAGTTCACGACCTTATAACCCAATTCCCTGTACGACACTTCTTTATTTTTACTCCGTCTTCCACGTTTTCAAAGACTTATCCGTACAAAAATTCTGCTAGAATTTCTTGCCTCCATTAACTCAACCCCTTGTGACATTATGGATTTTTCTTTACATCGACTGAGACGAATTATCGTGTTATTATCTAAACGTGAGACGCGTCGACAAATTTCACTGCAATGCAAGATCAACCAATCATGTCACAATAAACGTACAAAAACACAGAAAATAATAAGGCCACGCTACCTCTATAGCGTTTCGACTGAGTGGTTACTACTCCTACTTCATATTTTGAAGGTCCCGGATTCAAATATCGGCATACAGACCGGATATCCTGAGGTCTGTCGGGTTTTTCCTCATTCACTCCACGGAATTGTACCTCAAATTAAATTCACTATCTCCTCCTTACATATTTCTTCGAATTTATCATTCGACACTGTATAGTATAACATAGTCGTTAAATAAACACCAGATAAAAAACCCACAAAATTCTGAAACTTTATTTTACTTACGTAGTTATTCTGGATCACAGCCACTTAAATTGAACTACAAGGAAGAACGAGATCAGATATAACTTGATCGTCAATTTGGCTGAAACATAAGAAAACCATCGATGGAATTTTTTAATTTTTTTCGTACAGTTATTTTTTTTAATTTGCGTATTTTTGAGATTTATTATGGTCAACTGGAAGTTTTTTTAACTTCTTTGGATATTCAAATGAACACCTATAGTTAAATCACTGGTTCCCATTTTAATATTATTCCCGATGAAGGGTCAGTTTGCTGCCTGCTGGCCCTAAAAACTTAGTCACACTTCATACCTACTCGAATTACAAATGTCTGTTTCGTTGTCTTTCAGTGGTTCTCGTCTTTGACTTTTAATTAATTATTTTTTTAATCAGTTTTAATAACGACACCGGACATCGCAGGTAAAGACGCATTCCTGTTAAAGAAATTTTTCCTACCTTGGCTGTTGACACACATGGAAGAGTCCCATCTGTAACCTTCATCACACACACATTTGGGGGCTTCACACCTCGTGTTTTTCGTCACGCACTGATCATGTTCTTCGCAAAATTCATTATAGTTTGACACTGAAAATAGAAATTACGATTTTCACAGTTCAACTAAATAAAAACAAATCTTGTGGGTATTGCAAGACTTCAAAAGTACGATCACAATTATTAATACAAAGACTAGACCTAAGTTATTGAATTTTAATGCACCGGAAATCTTTACGAATTCAAAAATTTTATACTTGATGATTATTCCATACTTTACCCTAAGGTATGCAGCCATTAGCCATTTGTTTACAGTGATTCATCTTGTACCTGTGGGATTTACATCCTGCTTTATTTTTCTGTATTTTTATTGACTGCAGACTGCGTAGTGATTTATTGATAAATGATAATTTATTAAGACTTATCACAGAAGAAATCGTAGTAATCTTAGAGTCGGTACGTTTACTTCTTCACCTTTAAGACACGTGTTGTTATTCTTTCTGGAGGGAGTGTACAGCGGAGCGCATCTGCACACACCGCGGTCACACCTTCTGGCATTTGGGGCGACGTAACATTCCCGACTGTCCTCGCAGGCCTCACCGATCTCTGCAAAGGCAAATGTCTGTAACACCTCAGCGGTTCACAGACACGTAGTCCTCAAATCCCTTTCAAAAAAATCTCACCACAGCGCGAAGGCATTAATTAATCATAGTTCGTTTATAATCCTCGAATTTTGGTGGCAAATATAAGTTAGGAGGGTTCTTAAAAGAGCTGCTTCACGCTGACAAGAGCCCCGAAAAAGATTCTCTCCTTACCAACTTGTGCACAGTCATTTTTGCTTCGAGTCACCCGAAAGCCGGCCGGACACGAACACAAACCCTTCCAGCACTCCGTTCTCCTGCTGCTGTTTGTCCGTGCGCAGTCTTCATTAGTGACGCACTTCTCACCTAGCCAAACTGCGACACACACAAAAAAAACTAACTCTTCAAATCCCACTGGTAAATATACGTACCACCTACTTTTACGATCACAAACTCTACATTTTTCCCCCAGAGTGCATTTCTGAGTTTCGTACGATCACTTTAAACAGTGAATATTAAAAGTAGGATATGAAGTTCTCCGTCAACAGGGCGATGACAAAGCCCTGATGATGGAGGCAGCAAGGACCTCTGAAACGTCGGTGAAATTCTACCAGACTATACGGCGCAAGTCAGCCATCTTCCTAATAATTATCCCGCTAAACATCATTGACCAAGTGATCTTTGTAATTGTAAAGTATTGTTTTCTTTTCGGTACGGGCTAAATTCTTAAATATTATTTAAACGAGCATCGATGGTATGACATCAGCAGTTTGTGGACAGGACTGATCTGTTACTGCACTCATCGTCAGTTTATTATTACAAAATCATAATGTTTGGAAGGACGGACATTTCTTCGTCTTCAGGTGTCGAAAAGGGGGTTGGAACACGCGATCTGTTGGATCCGATATACCGAACTAGTCACAAACCACAGACCACTCACCCTGAGGAACACAGCTCTGTTTGTCTGGATCGGATCTGTAGCCAATCTCACACGAGCAGAAACCATGCAAACACCGTGTTTGCAGCCCTGAGGCACAGTCGCTGCTCGCGTTGCATTTGTCTCCAAGACCAACTGAAAAGCAACAGAGTAGATAATCAAGATCTAATGATGCCACGATCCAAGAAACCTGGCAATTGCTTTAAATTAAGATTTTATGTCCAATTGTTAAACAATGATCAGCTCGTATCAAAGTGACAATAAGGAAACCTAGAAATTTCGGTTGAGATACGACATCATGCAGTTTTCGGATATTTGGAAATTACGAAGACTACTACGAAATGCGACAGATTTCAACAATGACCTAAATATTCTCTGGTTACATCAGGTTGGGCTTTTATTGCAAATTTTTTCTTCTATAACTAATGCTCGTTTCATGTGCAATATCATCTGATTGTTCAGTTGTCCCGGATACGCTAATTGGTCCGTTTCTTTGCCTCTACACAAGTTACAGTTTATGATCGTCTAGAAAAGGCATCTTCCACCGATACTAGTCCGACTTCCTCTGAAGTGGTCTCTCCCACTGATGTTTGTAACCAACATCTTACATGCGTGCTACATGTTTCATCCATCCTATTCTTCATGAGTCGATCACCTTAATGCCACCTGGTGGAGAATGCAGATTCTCACTGTGCAGTTTTCTGTGACCTCAGGTTCTCTTCGATAATTTTAATAACTCATATTTATTTACTTATTACAAGTTAAGTTGTGTTTTTAAACAATCAACGTTCAGTTATCACGAAAAAATACTTTTACATTAAGAATAACGACAGAAACCCAATTCTTGGTTCTCAATTAGGGCACACGTAGGCAATTTACAGTATGACCACGAGTTTTGAACAAAATTTGGCCTAATCAGCGATGCCGATAATGATGATGACTACGTTACCACACTTTTCGATCTGTGGTTCGTGAGGGTCGCTGACAGAAACAGGGAAATGTGGGCAACATCTCCGAGTTTCCGTCCGGTACGTTAAAGCTTATCTCAGTGGTATCAGTAAGACGGTGGAAATGTGGATACGTATCCTGTGCGAAGTAGACGCTTAAGCGCGCCTCTGCAGAGCCAAGCTAAGTTTCTAGTGACCGGCGGGCTTATGTTTGGTCGTAATATCGAGATATTAACAACAGAGCGTGACCAGTTAAACTTGAAGGGAGAAATTTGCTTTGCAAATCCACCGTCTTCAAACATGTAAAAGAATATCTTAATCAGTAGCATCTAAACCTCAGAAGCGGGTTATAAAATTCTATCAGAATACGACAAAAATTTAAAAAAACAATCTTACGTTTGATCAAGAGGTAGGATCGTAACATTTTAAAAAGTTCATATTTATATAGGCCTAAATTAAGCTACTTGGAGCAGGCCGTCAAAATCGTGTCTCACGTCACTTGTAGATTAACGAGGAATTTCCAGAGAGAAGTCTGTTGTGTGGAGTAATTGTTGGGATGCCACGGAGAAACCGGGGAAGCCCCCGGAGGAAAACTCCGTGTTGCCTAGACCACGGCCTTGCCCAACACAAGTTATAAATTTGAGCACCACCGGGAATTGAACCCGGGACCCCACGATTACAAGGCCAGCATTCTGACCGCTAGACTACCGTGGCGGTAACACAGGAGTAAAATAAATTCTTGGACTGGGACCTGTTCATATACGTTTTGGCAGATGATCCAGAAGTGGTTTGGCATTGCCTTCTTCTGTGTGTGAATGGGGTAATTGTTGGGATGCCACGGAGGAAAACTCCGTGTTGCCTAGACCACGGCCTTGCCCAACACAAGTTATAAATTCGGGCACCGCCGGGAATCGAACCCGAGACCCCAGGATTACAAGGCCAGCCTGTTGAGCATAGAGTTACAAAATCACCTTTCTCTGTTCCCGAACTGTCTGGTAATCCCAAAATGATGACAATCGACATGAAGACACAAATGGAGCCTCTCATCTTGAAACAGCACTGTACAGTCCACTTACAAGCGCGCCTCTCAACTCACTGACCATTCATTTCCCTGCTTTAAACTTACTTCCTGTCTGCTAAGGAAACGGTAACAAGTCAGTTTATTACAAAGATTTGATTAGTAAGAACACCGACCGTGAGGCGAGGGATCCGACGTACACAGAGTGTTCAGAAAATAACTTCTGGTAATGTGAATTGGACTGAGGTGGCTCAAATATGGGAACAGTTGTCCTATTCTGTGTCGAGATTTGTGACGTCTGAAAATTTGATAATTACTGTTACGATAATGGTTTGACACGTACAGAAAAATACAAAGTTCTCTGAGATTCTTAACCATATTGGCGGCTTAATGCTGGCTATAAAGTGAACGAGTTATCACGTGGTCTAGCAATACGATTTGAGATTTATACAGACCACCCAGTGGGCTGGGCACGTGGCTTGGATAGTGTGAAAAAATTATGATTCTAGAATTTTAGTAGGAAACTTCCGGAAAACTTGCACTTGAAAAAAACACAGAAGACGATGGATCATAGAGATCTTAATAATATGGGTCAAGAGGATGCGAGATGCATGATCATCCTCAGGGTAGAGAGTTTTAATATTAGCAGCGATTGACCTTCGTTTAATGAGATATAAGGCGTGTAAAATTTAATTTAAAAAGTATCAGCAGCAAACCACTGGAAGGAATTCTGGAGGAAAAGCGTTATAGACAGGAATTGAAGAGATTAGATGAACGCATGAGTCTAAAACCAACAATATATATCGCAGGGTGCGTTATCTGAAACAGTCCTTTTCCACACACACTACGGAGTAGGTGTTCGGCTGGTTCAGAGCAATGGCAGTTATCAAGAGCGTTCTGGCAATCGCGATTTGCATCCTGTGCCAATTGCACGATTCTCTTCAGGAGGGGATAGAATATCCTGCAGGTAAGTGACGTGACGAGACGAGTTGAGAAATTACCTTACTTTCATAGGATCTGAGGTTTTCATGGCAGCGAGTCTGAAGGTGTCTGTCTTCTGGGTTGTTGCGTAGTCTGGTATAAGTGCAGCCTACACCATCAGGGAGATCGCCCTGATGATGGAGGCAGCAAGGACCTCTGAAACGTCTGTAAACTTCTACCAGACTACACGGCGCAACAACCCAGAAGACAGCCATCTTCTTACCTTACTTTCAACTGCAAAAGAAGCAACAGTACAACTTCTGGAGAAAGTTACACTCGTGGAAATTATCATAATGAGCAGCTTTATAGCTTGTAGTCTTCACTAATTAGATTTATCAATAAGGCGAATAAATAAAGGATAATATTGGGTGGGGCATCTAGCACACGTGTAAGAGATAAAAAATGATTATAATTTGTCTTTGAAATACCTGAAGCAAAGAGAACAATTGAGAGACCTAGACGTAGATAGGATAATATTAAAATTGGTCTTGAATAAATGAGGAGTTTGGATACGCACTTGACTCAAATTGCTGAGGACAGAGTTCAGAGAGTAATAAAACATTTGGTTCCATAAACGCAGGAGACTTCTTCATTAGCTGAGGTACTGAAGTGTACCAAAGCAGGCCTGAAGAATTTTAAAAAAAAAGTCTGCAAATACGTAGGGCGAAATGCCCTTCCCAGATTTCAACAGTTCACAGAGCAGCGTGCTGTTGCAAGATACAGCATTCTACACAAACAACGCCATGCGATATCTCGTATTTGCACAGATCTTATTGGCGCCTTATTTGTGGTATTTCACCCTGACACATATGGGTGGGGCCGCGTTCTCGGTATGACGTCTTTCCGCAGTTAATGCGCCCAACAACTCATACAATCGGCACGGGTGACTCAAAAGGCTGTTTTCTTGAAATGTCCCCAGCTGGAACGGCATTTTCAAACTACCAGTTCCTTTCAAACCCCTTTACCTATTCACTACACATAATCATCTACTTACATCACTCGGCGCTGCACCTAATCGATAAATAATATAGCGCTACAAATTTAGAATGGCGATTTAGTATTATAATCCTTAGAAGTATCCAGTAAATAAATAAACTACGACGTTTTAAACAATAAAACGTCACTGCACGCCCGTAGGAACAGAACGGGTAGACTTTGCTATGGAGAATAGCTGACAAGGGGTGGTTCCCTAGCTTGGGATTTGGGTGGTGGTTAAAACCTCTTAGCAAAAAGGAATAAGAATGTTAAATATCTGCACGACTAGCAGTTTCCGAAGAATTATACTCGATGCAGAAAATTAGGTCTTCGATTTTTAGTTACAGCTTGTTCATGAAACTGACCCGACGTTTCAGAGGAGCTTACTGCCTGCATTATCTCCCTGATGATGGAAGCGGTGAGCTATCCTGAAACGTCGGTCAATATATGTCAGACTATATACGACGCAACATTCCAGAAGACGGCAGTCTTCATACTCATCGCCGTGAGAACCTGATATCTCACGAAACGAATTATGTTCGGGAGTGAGTATCTTTTGTTTCTGTCAACGACAAATATGTTTCTGTTCCTACAGAAATCGGCACAACCTGTACTGAAGACGACAGATGCAAGTCCGTAATGAATTCCGTCTGCTCTAAAGACGTATGCAGCTGTAAGGAAAACTTCGTTCCAAGTACTAATAACAAAACGATATGTTTACCAGGTACGTTTTAACTGATGACATTAATATTTCACTCTGTAGACGGAGGTCACTCCATCCCAGGCCTTCTTGCTAGGTGACCCTTACAGGTTTTATAGTACAAAAGCCACCATTCCGTTGCTAGGCAACCATTAAACTCACGAAGAGATCATGGAGTCGCCAACACTGTACTCATAAGACTGCATGTGTGCACATATGTAAGGACGTGTGTATGCGACAATTCCATTCCTGAACCCGTCGCTTGCAACTGAAAACGTGGGATTATTAATGGACCAACACACACGTTACTAAGACGAGGATAATTTAAATGTAGCTGCTTGAGTTCCACTTCGTAGATTCTGAAAGTCACGTGTTTAAAGATAACAAATCAACAGACTGCGATCGTGAAATTACATTTCCCCCTCCCCATTATTCCAGATTTTAAACTTTGTGGGTTAGAGCACTTTTGCTCCCAGGTATTCAATTGTACCTTACCGAAATATGAAAAAAAAAATACGCAATAAATGAAAACACGTCGTTGAACAAAAATTAAGAACTTGAGTAATTCTTACATTTCGTTGTTACGTTGTTTAGTTGCCAGAAACGTCAATAATTCATGCGAAGAGGAAATTCAGTGCACAATGCCTTTTGGAGAAAACGGAACATGCAACGACGAACAGCAGTGCGTTTGCAAGACTGGAAATCACTACGTCAAGCCCAGCAAATGTGTCTTCAGCAAAGGTAATTAATTGACTTCCTGAATCCCGGCACCTCAAACACATCGAGCTGTTGGCAAGTTTCCTTCGTATTCTAGAGGCCCCGGGTTCAGATCTCGGCTCAGATATAGACTATCCTGAGGTCTCTCGAAGTTTCCTTCAGTCCCTTAACAAATGCTGATATTGTACCTTAAATTAGGCCACCCTTTACAATTTATTAATCATCAATCATCCTCCTCTCATCCGAAGTTTGTAGTCTGAGCACTGACAGCGTCGTTAAACAAACAAAGAAATAAATGAAAGACCTCAAACACATAAAGTTCATCGCTTCAATGTAGTAAATTCGATGCAGAACAAAGAATTTCTTATGATGCTCCAACACAACTCCATCAGTAATTAATTTCGTAGTAATAATTATTATTTACCGATTGTCCTTATAACACTTACTGCTCTGAACGGCGTTTCCCTGCAGGTTTGAACGAGCAGTGCGCAGAATCAAACGAATGTTTCCTGCCAGAAGATGGAGAGAACCAGAAGATCGAATGTAACAACAAGCAATGCAAGTGTAGAGCGGGTTACATACCATCGCCCGACGAGAAAAGCTGCAGGGGTAAGTCGACAGTCCCGTGATACAAATTCAGGGAGAGCTGAGGACACGAGCTATTGCACTTCAGTGGAGAAAAACGAAAGGTCATTGTTCATGACCCACCGAACCAGCTGTAAATATCCCCGCGGTATTAATCTCGTAGCCAAAGGTCAGATTGATACAAGTACGAACCTGAAATGTTGCGCCCGGATAGTCTCGATCACCCTAATTATAAAGGTAACAACCTCCGAAACGTCGGTCAATATCTACCAGGCTACACAACGTTCAACTCGCAAGACAGTCTTCTCCATATTTCTTGCCGTGAGAACCTAAAATCTCACAACTAAAAATCTGTCCTCCAATATTCGGATATTACAACACGAAAATTTAATTTCGTATAAAACTTTTTCGGGCTGCATTATCGCCCACGCAAATGCCTTGGACGCCAGACCACAATTTTTCGTGAGACAAAATTTTTTTTTACCAACATTTCTTAAATGATTATAAATGCTGAAGATTTTAAAAACATTACCACGCGAGAATTCTTTGTTTCCTTACTCGCTGCGGTGAAGTATATCGAGGATATTTGACGGCTGTGCCGTTAGGAGTGTGAAACGCGGCAACCCACGCAGTGATCGAGCACAGACGGAAGATCGTATCGTGGCACCGACAGACATAATCAGAAATCGGTGGACCATTTCTATAAGTTCCAAATCATGTTGCTGCAAGTATGTTAAACATACTTATTGCATATCTTCATATAATACGGTGAAACAAATATTACGAAAGTCTCTTCAAGCAATGTTTTTGTGGATAAAGAACATAATTTATGTTTTGTTCCAGATTCTGCGGTCACCAATATAATCTCCATAACATGCATCGTAGGAGTTTGGGTACTCCACCTGTGGCTGTGATTCTGTTCAAGCCGTTAGCAAGAGAGCAGTTAAACATGAAGTGAAGTAACGAGGACATCGATTTTCACAGCAATCAGAATACAGCTTAATTATTATTTATCTTCTCCAAGTTCTGTGGTGTTTTCTGTGTGTGTTTATTGTCAATTTTGTGTATTTCATTGCAAAGCACACTAAACAAATAACAGAATTAAAGAACACAAATATTTTCAGTAACTATAAAATAACTTAGATAAAAAAGATGTTGTTTTAATACCAGAAGAGTGCGATGCAGTCGACATTTTGTTCAGAAATAGACTTTCAGAATGAATAAAAGACCAAGGAATTTTTGTTTATGCAATTTATTATAAAAAACTTCCAGAAAATTTCCTTTTCTTTTCTTTTCCGCACTTCAGTAGTAAAGAGGATAAATTTGTTAATTTATTTCTGACTTCTAGAAATACTCGCTACCAAATTTACAGTCACTCGGCTGTTTAATAATTCCCCTCCCCCTTTTCACGAAACGTGATTGTTCATCCCCGTGCCCAGAAAAAAAACTAATCCCGCTATTGGATAATTCCTTAGCCAGATACATCCACTCCACATACTATATTTCTTAAATATAGCGTCTGCGTATAATATTATCCTGTCATCTTCCACCAGGTCTCCCAAGATTTGTTTTCATTTGACATTTTTACAATAAAATTTAATGACGCATGAGTTCTCATCTCACCCGTATGTGCTACATGTCCCGAAAATCTAATCCTCACATACTTGATCACTCTAATAACATTTAATGAACAGAAGGTCCACATAATATGAAAATCGTCATCATTCAGATTTACGTGCCAAACAATCTCCTCAGCTCATCTGCCTCTACAGTCCACGACTGTAATCTTGAGACTTGCGGGTAGAGGAAGTGGGATCTGCCTTTAACGCTACGGACTTCCTGCATTCCTTGCAAGTCTCAATATTACAGTCGTGGACTGTAGTTACTTTCATTCGTAAAGCGCCTTTGGACAGCGTTCAGAATCAACACACACCAATTAAGCAAGTTACTACAGCGGTAATCATTTGTATTCGGCAGGTAACGGGTTCATATCCCCGACGGCCCACAGACTGACATTACCTTAGTCTGGCCTGATAATTGAAGAGCGTAGGTAACTAAGTCCTCCTTACAGATCCTTACCTAATAATAACTGATGTCGACTTTACCACTTAAGTCGATTTTACAGACCTAACATAATGCTCACAGTTCAACAAATTAAGCCACTCACGGCCAGTTTTATACTAAATTTGATTAGTCTTCGATCACAATTTTGTTTTCCGAATATCAATACTTGATGAAAATCGTAATTTGTAGGAAAAATTTGTAATTCGGTGCCCATGTACGAAAATCAAATAACAAATGAAAGGTCTGAGTTTGAATTCGCTTTCTGGGTGACAGTGCGTTCGTAGGGGGCAACTTATAAAATAAACCTAGGTATATCAAAGGAACGAAAGAAGTTTCCAGTATCTTTGAAAATCCGACTATCAAAATCACAATGAACTTTAGACTCATAACAAACAAACAAACACACCCTATTCCCTCCACAGGAAAGTAAATAGTGAGTTATTTTTTTCTTTTCAGCAGGCAATACTATGGCAATATTGGTAAATGCTGATAAAGAAACAAGATTAGACATAAATAGCACTACTGCAACTTCTTTGCAAACAAACTTCCTCCTTCGTCCACAGTCCGCACCAAATATTAAATATATTCGTAGCACTAGACAACGTTAGCTGTTCAAAAAACTTATCCTTTTACGGTGGTCACAAGAGACCAAATTAGTCTAGTCCACATCTTCACACCCAGTTTCTTTAAGATCCATTATAATATAATTATATGTACGTAAGGATAATAATTATTATCCTTACGTACATTTGCAAGACTGCCAAATACAGGCTGAAACGTACACGAAATTATACCTGATTGAAGGTTTAAATAAAAGCTTCAAAATTCATGTAATGGTACGTGTATGTCTATGAATACAGAGAACAATTCGTGGAGATTTATCCTCTATGGATTGCTGATATCCTGCTCGCCACGGATGTGGACAGAATTGGCCATCCAGTAGACTGGACGCAAACCCCTGCGACTTATTCCTTTAAGGTCACGTTGAGAAAAAACTGCTTAATTAAGAATACAAATTATAACATTGAAGAACATACCCTTTAGAATATTTTTAGGTAGGGGCACACAACGAGATCTGATTTCGGTCGGATCTAATTGTTATTGTCTTCAATAAGTATGGAAGAGGCATGAGATTTAAGGTTCTCACGGCGTCCAGTATAAAGATAGCTGTCTTCTGTAATCTTGCATCATGAAGACTGGTAGACATTTAGCGACGTTTCAGTGGTGTTTAATTGCTTTCATCATCATCGCCCTGATTATGGAGGCAGTAGGAACCCCTCAAACATCGTTAAATTTCCATACCAGAAGACTCCAATCGTTGAAAGTTGCATAATTTGAGTAAGAATTGTTGATGTCTGGAAAACATGGACAATTTCAGTAGCAGACTCGGCTGAATATTTGCTTTGGTGGTACGACGCGAGTTACTTCCTCCGTTGCCGTATAAAGACCCCTCTGTTCAACCCATTTATCTGAACAAACACAGGATAGGCGGAAACATTCTTTAGATAAATTTGAAAAAAATTGAAGAAAAAATTCGCCAAACCTTCCTCGACGCACCGGGCAGTCACTTCAACACAAAGTCTTCGGCAATGGCGTGCTCCTGTGAAATCAGAGTGCTTTGTCTAGTAATGTTCTGGCTGGCCAGCAGCTACTCAGCATTTGCAAGTGGTAAGTGCTTTTTGACTCAGCCGCAATATTAGTTTTCAAAAATAATCACAAAATAAATAAACGCCTTCCTTAAGAATTCTGTCAATATTCTAACAAAGACCAAGAATAACCATAAATTAATAATTATACAGACATCAGCCACATTAACCCGTCTCCAGGCTCAGTTTTAACCTGTGGAATCCTAACCACACAGACGGCATTTTTGGTTATTGGTTCTTACCGTTCAATTTCTAAGACATAACCTGATACATTCGGTGCGTAGCATGTATCAAATTTCTAACACAAAAATTTTTATATGCAATTGATAGGTTTGTTCGTAATTTCGCCCTGTACAAGTCCTAGTATATTTCAGTCTCTAGCTCCAATCGCCATCAAACTGATGGTCGCCATATTGTTGATAAAATCCTCTGGGGCGACCATCAGCGTCAGCTCGGAGCAGACTTTCGTTCTGTCCCGAGTAGACGCTGTTAGTCGCCGCGAAATCTTCAAGTCATATCCCGTGTTTTTGTTTACGTCCAACATAAACTTAGCCATATTAAACACCTGCATACACTCATACGATCTTTTTTCCAACAATTTTCTAAGCCCCCTATTAAAAAAACAACTCAGCAGCTTAAAACGCTGAATGCCACGAAATTACAAGTACAAGCTTAAAGTGACATGATTTTATACCACGTTTAATGAAAGGCCGTCAATTTGTTGGTAAAATACTGTGGGCATGATCATAAGTATAACAGTGTAATATAAGTAGCATTACCATGCAATTATGCTGCAGTGTGGATTTGTAGGTGGGCACATATTTTCGGGAAAACCTACTGCCTTCATCTTCAGCGATGAAGTATGTTAGGAAGACCATGGTATATATCTTAGAGTCAGTATGTTCCTCTTAAATGTTGGTATCTAACTACAAGTCCACATAACGCCATAACCAAGAAGAACAATATCTATTCTTGTTCCAAATTTTGATCTGTGGTAATAAGCTTAAATATTCTGACTTACGTAGACTTAACATAACTTCCTCATTTTTAGTTTACTTTATTATGAATCTAAACGTCACTTAAGTACATCACAAAGACTACAAGTGTACTTATTGTGGGTTATCTTTCTAGGTCCAATGCTTGGTTCCTCTTGCGAAACTCAAGAAAACTGCTCAGACATTGCCAACTCCACCTGCATTAATTCCACATGCGCCTGTGTCCAGAATTTCGTGCCTGGTAACCAAAACAGGTCTTGCCTCCCAGGTATCTACCATTGGAACACGCATTTGGTTAAATCAATGCTTGCGATTTTGAATACGAGGCTTGGATTACATTCCCAATTCACACGACAACTTAATCAGAAACCTTCAGCAATTTCAAAGATAAAAAATTGAGGTCAGGCAGATTTGTTGTACGCATTACGTGTTTATTTTGTTCAGCAAATGCACAACCTAAGAGAGCGTATGACTCAGTTAAATCAAGGGTTAAGCTTGATGGATGGTAAAACATATAACAATTTTTTATACCCCTAAACTCCACCCTTCTCATCCTAATGAATTTCGCGAAGGTTACAAATTACAAAGCTCCTAATTACGTAATTTTCTCTACACTTCTGTTGCTTCTAATTTGAGAGACCAAGTTTCACACTCGTACAAAGCAAAAGATAGAACCCGTTTTGTAAATTTTAATGTTTATAGTAGTGGAACTGAGGGTGTTTGAGAACAAAATGTATTATTCACCATATAGGCTATTATTAGGATAATAAAACCAAGGATTATGAAATCGAAAAACCTGGAGAAAAGAGATCACGTGGGAGGCCTCCCAGGTTCTGGGAGAACAACACAAAAATTAATCTTAAGTAAATTGTTTATGAGGATGATTTAATGACTGGCCGACTGAGCTACTCTAAAATGGCGCTGCTGGATGGAGTGAATGATGGGGAAGGGGAACATATAATTTTCTACTCTGACCGTCTGCAAAATGTTCCAGTGGCCAGAGACCTGGGCTCCAGGTGCAATGAGAGCGTCCAGTGCTCCACGACGCTGGGATCGCTGGTTGGCTGCTTCGAAAATGAATGCAGTTGCGTGGAGGACTCGGTGGAAGTTGACGAAAAATGTAGCGAGAAGAAAAGTAAGTTGTCGTCTGACGATTTCCAGAATGATAGTTTCATCTGCAAACTAGTTTAACGCAAATGCAGTTCGTGTGATAACTACTGTCAGGAGAAACTAGATCCCAGTTAAGAATTAGCTAGATACCCAGCTGTTCCAGATTTCTGAGATCCTGAAGGAATTTCTTGACTAGTTCAACTATCCATGAAAGGTCTCTTCCCCAAAGAATATGATTCCATCAGTTGCACTACGTAGATGCAAAACCACTGTTCACCAACAAGAGTGTAATCACATAAAGGAAATAAGCTGGCCATGTAGAACACAAGGGATTATTAAGAAAATCTGAAAGGTAGAGATCACTTGTATCGTGGATAATATTAAAATGCGTCTTGGAGAAACAGTAGAGAGTAGTCCTGTAGAGAGTTACCGACGTTTCAGATGTGCTCACTGCCTTCGTTGGGGTACTGATGGAGGCAGCAAGTACCTCTAAAACGTCGGTATACTTCTAACAGGCTATGTGGCACTACAACACATATGACAACCATATGTTCATTCTCATCCCATAAGAACCTCAAATCCTGAATCTTCATTAACATTAAGACATATACTACTCAAAAATAACTGATCCCTCTACTTCTTTCCCCGATTAAAAAATATACAGGGTGATTCAAAATGTTGGGGCCAAACTGATGGAGCGTAGAGAGAGACTCAGAGAGAACAACTTTCGAATAGGAACCCATGTCATCCTGAGTCAGTCGAGGCCACTGAAGGCAGGGAAGTCTCATAACATACCGCTGAAATAATCTTGCTTTGCTATTCCCCTACTAGCTTATTTTTTTTAATTAATGTACAAGGATTACATTTAGTAATCTTACAAACCAAATTATTTCAGCGGTATGTTATCAGACTTCCCTAACTTCAATGGCCTTGACTGACTCAGGATAACTTCGGAGGACATGGATTCCTATTCGAAAGTTGTTCTCTCTGAGTCCCCTCTCTACGCTCCTTCAGTTAGGCCCTAACCTTTTGAATCACCCTGTATATACAACATCCTCCCCACATACGTTATCTTCGTTTCTAAAATAATCTCTTCACCCCTCACAAATTCCGAATACATCAGCAGACTAACCTCACCACGCAATGCTATACCGGGTCGCTCTGCTTTGCAGATATCAAGGAGATCTGTAAAGTCAAAGAGGAATGTCGTGCCAATAACACGGACTGTATAGACAGCATATGTAGCTGTATCAAAGGATATGAAGCTGTTGGCGACTTGACAGAATGTACGCCCATCTCAGGTGAGTAATACTTAGAACTAGATTCTGGTAGCTACTCATCTCACCAGTCTCTGGTCTGTAATGCGTCTCGAATTTAAGCTGATGCATCATAAATACTCGCCGTGTAGAACTGACAATATTAAACTCGGCTGCCACGTTACATGAACAGATATTCCAACATAGAAACGGTTTATTTATTCAAACCGAACTGAAATCGTAGTTGGAGTTGGAGCCTTCGTGTTGACCGCGTTGGCCCGGCTAACAACTTGAAAAATAAAAAGTCTTCCGTCTGATTTCTGTGATTTGATAACCTTAATAACAATGGACGCACTAAACACCCGTGAAACATACGTAAATTTTTACTACACTACACGACTCACGTGCCACAAGACAGTCATCTTAAGGACGAAGAGTCGAATTAAAGAGTGTCCTTTATATTCGACCATGCTGCACTCGTAGATTAATATCGCTGTTACTGTTAAAAAAAATCGAACTTGAAATTCATGTCCCTTTTCAGACAAGGACGGAGACCTGTCAACAAGCAAAGTCCCCAAAGGTGAGCAGAAATCTAATTGTGCTCATGGAAACTGCACAAAATCCGAAACCACCAAACGTGCAGACGACATCAATCAGCTCCCTAAAAACACGACAAAGACAAGAACAGGAAAGCCGAAAGGAAACGGTAATAGCACTGAGGGTTTAACCAACTCCGTGGAACGGAGTCCTTCTTGACACGCTGAAAGTCGCTTACATCGCCAACAAACTCCCTGCCTTCTACCACTCGTATTAAAAATGTGGATTTTTTTTACCAACAGATTGCGAAATTTTCAGCTTATCACGAAGTGCTCTGATGTATAAAATCTTATTACGCTATTATTAGTATTATTATGAGATTTTATATTTTCTTCAGGTGTTGTCTCTGACTTTCCAGCTGCTCTCAAGTACTTAAACACGAATAGAATTAAATTATTTCAGATACTAACTTGCTAACTGATGTTCTCTTCTGATTGGTCTGTATCTGCCACGGTATGTGGCACAACACCTCAGAAAGCTACCAACCTCTTTTCAAAAATGAGTTCAGACTATTTAAGATAAGCAATAATTTCCGACCTAAGAATTTTTAATTAGTGCGAATGACTTTGTCATCAAAATACGAAACACACTATTTTTAATGCTACGTTTCAGGGGCTGGAGTCAACACAGTCTTATCACTCGCGTGCGTTCTTGGTACCTGGATCTTTCATCTGCTAGTCTGAGATAAACAAGACAACGAAGAATTGAACATTCAGACATGCAGACGTCATTAGACATGGGACTGCAACATTCATCTTGAACGATTTTACATCTGTGAAGGACTGTTTTAAATTTAAGCTTAAAGCGTAACTAAGATATATTTAAGAATTATTTTTTAATTTCAAATAAAACACATCCCCATTATCATTACATGGCTTAACCTGTTTAATAAACTACTCGTAGTTTCTTACAAAAATCACACGAAAACAACCTCAAATTCCACACACAGATCTGGAAGTCGGATCTTCACCATCAGCCAAGTACAAGAAGAGAAATGAGTTCAACAAAATTTATACAGACCTTGAGCCTCGAACCTACCTACGACTTTATAAGACGCCAAAGCCCAGAAGAAGAAGAAGAAGAAGAAATTTAGACACCATTTTGTAATATCTGAGGTCCAACAACTAGGTAGATATAAACGTTTCGGTGGAACATACTGCCTCTATCTTCAGGGCTTCAGATAAAGCGACTGTAACAAGGAAGATAGCTGTAAGAAAGTGAAGTACGTGGCATCTGTTAAGAATCTGTGCCAGTGTTAAAATCTCGGTCCGGACACCGGCTATATTGAGGTTGTTGAGATTTCTGGTTCTCATGACGACGAGTAATCATATGAAGTTTAATAAATTAAAAATCACCCTCCAAAATGGCTCAAGAATCTTTTTATTTTCCTTGCACTTTCTTCGTTCAGCCACTTTGACTAAAGACATGTATAACTTCTGGTCACCAAGTACAGAGATACAACTGGCCAGAGGGCGAAGGTAACAACTCATCTTGTTCTTAGAACAAGGATATGAGAAGCTTCGTTTACAGATTAGTTCTTGAACAGTACAGTTCTGATCCTGTTAAAAACTGTGCATCGGGGCATTCTCCTGTGGCACTACACGGGGCAGATAAGATTATTTCAGAGTGACTGTGCTTTCTTATCTCGATGCGTGGGGAGAGCGTATCACTGCCAAGCCCATTCTACTCAACCTGTCTCGTACAAATGTAGCTGTTATTTAATTTCGCATACGAAAGTATTGTTTTAATTTGCAACTCGTAAAAAGATAACATTCAAACGCTTGTGGGTGTATTATTGCTATGGACACTGGGAGCTGTAAACTAGGTACAAAGTTAATCGTCATCATGGGATTAATCTTGAGGTATGCAGCAGGAGAGGACGATTACCAACGTAAGTAAAACAATTTCTCACTATAGTCGTCTTCGGGTTGCATTTCTAACGTATCGGACGAATATGCTGCCTTTTTCTTCAGGGTTTTGTGTGGGGACAATCACCATATCATGCTCCACCTAACCCTATATAACCAATTACAAATCCTAATATCAGCCCTGAAGATGGAGGCAGAATTTTCTTCCGAAACGTTGGAATACAATTAAAAGATGTCGCAACAGCCGAGAAGACCATTGTCCAAAACCAACGTCACAGTATAAACCTCAGTACCTATAAAACATTTTCTTCTGGACACGTACGTAAGAAATAAGTAGATCTGCGTCCCTTAAATCAGGGGGTAGCTTAAATATGCTAGTTTCTGCATGAAGGAGCGTCGACTACAAACACTTTGCCTTGGAAATTACGAATTAGATTGCTGAACCAGAGCATCCGGACACCATCTTACTGACGAGTGACTTTGCGAACCTGAAAATAACTATACCACTTACACATTTCAGGTGTTGTTAAAACATGCAATTACGACTCGGACTGCGTCGCAAATGCGTACTGCAAGGAACAGAGCTACTGCCAGTGTAAAAAAGATTTCATAATCTACGCTGCTGATGCGAACAGTTTCTCATGTCTTGAAGGTAAGGAAACGACGTCACATGCCTTCGCAAGACACGTTAAATGCAAGGGCAGTCTCTGTGCCAGGATATGGACCTCTCTACGATTCCAGAAGCCAACAAATTACAAAGGAAATGTGATCATTTAAAGGCCGGTGGAAACGTATGTTCAACCCACGATAATGTTCAGTAATTCTATACATTTTGCCCACGATTCTAAGATTAAACAGCTACTGATATTACAAAAACTTAAAATGTCCTCCTCTTTTTTTTAAAGAAACTTCCTGTCATAACTTGTATCTTGTATCTTTTCATGTTATAAACGAGATACCTCGCTGAGAAAAATCATTACTTGTGCTATAAGCGTCATTAAATTTTATAATAATCCGTTTAAAAACAGAACTCTCCTGTCATAACCTTGCGTCTCAATAATTTGCAATTTTTCTTAGCAATTTAAATTATTAATCGTCGTTGCAATTCACAAAAAAGAAAGGCATTTGTTTTTTAACTTCGCCTGGGAATTAAAAGGTTGCAAATAACATTAGTGAATCTCTCTCGTCCACACACAGATCTGGAAGTCGGATCTTCACCATCAGCCAAGTACAAGAAGAGAAATGAGTTCAACAAAATTTATACAGACCTTGAGCCTCGAACCTACCTACGACTTTATAAGACGCCAAAGCCCAGAAGAAGAAGAAGAAGAAGAAATTTAGACACCATTTTGTAATATCTGAGGTCCAACAACTAGGTAGATATAAACGTTTCGGTGGAACATACTGCCTCTATCTTCAGGGCTTCAGATAAAGCGACTGTAACAAGGAAGATAGCTGTAAGAAAGTGAAGTACGTGGCATCTGTTAAGAATCTGTGCCAGTGTTAAAATCTCGGTCCGGACACCGGCTATATTGAGGTTGTTGAGATTTCTGGTTCTCATGACGACGAGTAATCATATGAAGTTTAATAAATTAAAAATCACCCTCCAAAATGGCTCAAGAATCTTTTTATTTTCCTTGCACTTTCTTCGTTCAGCCACTTTGACTAAAGACATGTATAACTTCTGGTCACCAAGTACAGAGATACAACTGGCCAGAGGGCGAAGGTAACAACTCATCTTGTTCTTAGAACAAGGATATGAGAAGCTTCGTTTACAGAATAGTTCTTGAACAGTACAGTTCTGATCCTGTTAAAAACTGTGCATCGGGGCATTCTCCTGTGGCACTACACGGGGCAGATAAGATTATTTCAGAGTGACTGTGCTTTCTTATCTCGATGCGTGGGGAGAGCGTATCACTGCCAAGCCCATTCTACTCAACCTGTCTCGTACAAATGTAGCTGTTATTTAATTTCGCATACGAAAGTATTGTTTTAATTTGCAACTCGTAAAAAGATAACATTCAAACGCTTGTGGGTGTATTATTGCTATGGACACTGGGAGCTGTAAACTAGGTACAAAGTTAATCGTCATCATGGGATTAATCTTGAGGTATGCAGCAGGAGAGGACGATTACCAACGTAAGTAAAACAATTTCTCACTATAGTCGTCTTCGGGTTGCATTTCTAACGTATCGGACGAATATGCTGCCTTTTTCTTCAGGGTTTTGTGTGGGGACAATCACCATATCATGCTCCACCTAACCCTATATAACCAATTACAAATCCTAATATCAGCCCTGAAGATGGAGGCAGAATTTTCTTCCGAAACGTTGGAATACAATTAAAAGATGTCGCAACAGCCGAGAAGACCATTGTCCAAAACCAACGTCACAGTATAAACCTCAGTACCTATAAAACATTTTCTTCTGGACACGTACGTAAGAAATAAGTAGATCTGCGTCCCTTAAATCAGGGGGTAGCTTAAATATGCTAGTTTCTGCATGAAGGAGCGTCGACTACAAACACTTTGCCTTGGAAATTACGAATTAGATTGCTGAACCAGAGCATCCGGACACCATCTTACTGACGAGTGACTTTGCGAACCTGAAAATAACTATACCACTTACACATTTCAGGTGTTGTTAAAACATGCAATTACGACTCGGACTGCGTCGCAAATGCGTACTGCAAGGAACAGAGCTACTGCCAGTGTAAAAAAGATTTCATAATCTACGCTGCTGATGCGAACAGTTTCTCATGTCTTGAAGGTAAGGAAACGACGTCACATGCCTTCGCAAGACACGTTAAATGCAAGGGCAGTCTCTGTGCCAGGATATGGACCTCTCTACGATTCCAGAAGCCAACAAATTACAAAGGAAATGTGATCATTTAAAGGCCGGTGGAAACGTATGTTCAACCCACGATAATGTTCAGTAATTCTATACATTTTGCCCACGATTCTAAGATTAAACAGCTACTGATATTACAAAAACTTAAAATGTCCTCCTCTTTTTTTTAAAGAAACTTCCTGTCATAACTTGTATCTTGTATCTTTTCATGTTATAAACGAGATACCTCGCTGAGAAAAATCATTACTTGTGCTATAAGCGTCATTAAATTTTATAATAATCCGTTTAAAAACAGAACTCTCCTGTCATAACCTTGCGTCTCAATAATTTGCAATTTTTCTTAGCAATTTAAATTATTAATCGTCGTTGCAATTCACAAAAAAGAAAGGCATTTGTTTTTTAACTTCGCCTGGGAATTAAAAGGTTGCAAATAACATTAGTGAATCTCTCTCGCTACACGCCATGTATGTCGCTTGGGGGGAGAGGCATATAGCTCCTACTTATTCTTGACCTCGGCACTAGATGGGGGTAAGTGGTCAGCATCACGCCCCGGCCGTGCTTTAACCCTGGGAAGGGACCCCGGTACCCACTGGATAGGAGAGCCAGTCTGGACGCAGAGGCTAGAGGAAAAATCCTCGAACCCCGGTCGTCCAGCTATACTGACTGAGCTATCCCGACTAACATTTCACAATGGTAGTCTGAGATTAAAAACTTAAGTGTGGTTTCTCGAAGATTCTGATAACCACACTTTGACGTAAAGACCGTTCTCGATCCAACAGAAGCCATTGTTCTGGGCGATGCCTGCGAAGCAGACATCCAGTGCACGAAACCTTTCGGGAGCTACGCCAAATGCGCTACCAGAGAGGGAGGTTTTGGGACATGCAAGTGCATGGCTAACGCTCACTTCAAAGATGGCAGGTGTTACGAGACGTCATGTGAGTAGTCCGTGGAAGTTACAGGAAGTACGTTCCTTTCGAATACTTCAGTCTGTAAGGCGAGGCCAGTAGAAACACAGACTCTTCGCTTTTCGCACTCAGTTATTTTTGTGATTTTTTTTTTAAAAAATATGGTTTTATGTATTTTTACTTCTAGACCAAATTCTTTACTGACTTGCGGAAAAGTTTCTGAATTTTTCCTTACGTAGGAATGTGTTTTCTCCCGCAATACATTAACATCTGAATAAACAACCCAACTTTTTGGTTTTTTTTTTCGTACATCCCATATTGCACAGTCAAATAAAAAATCTATAAGGACAAGGCTTACCCTTGTTTTTATCCACTGCCAACTGTAAAAAAAACACTAAGAAAATGGTTCCTTATGCAAACCCACCCACAGGCTTCATACATCGAAGTGAACTCAGAATGTGCCACAGGCGATATCCTCACAGAGGTCACTTGTTTCAGTGATTGGAGGGAAGTGTAAAGTTCATAACAACTGCTACCTCGCGTCCGGGATGCCTGCCTACTGCGACAAGAGCGAGTGTACGTGTCCGAACAGCCACCATCCGAACCAAAATGGCACGGACTGTATCAAAACAGTTTGTAAGTTTCAGAACGGTGCGTCATTGATTAACTCCACTTACAGCGGCAAAATACAGGTAAAAAATAAGATAAAGCTATCCAGCTGCGCGCCATGTATGCGCTCAGGGGGAGAGGTGGTATAGCTCCTACTCATTCTTGACCTCAGCACTAGATGGGGGTGAGAGGTCAGCATCACGCCCCGGCCGTGCTTTATCCCCTGGAAAGGACCCAGGTACGCATTGGACAGGAGGCTGGGTGGGCCCCAGAAACGGTCTGGACGCAGAGGCTAGAGGAAAATCACCTAAAATGCCACACATGTATTGCAGTATTTTCTAAAGGGCCTCGCGGTTGGCTACGTCGCTGGGTACAGACTCAAGGTCACATGTTACTATGACAATTGAATCACCAAGTGTTGTACTGCTCTGCTCACAGACCTAGACGGACCATGTCAGACTGACCAGGAGTGCGTCACTGAGAACTCGAGGTGTGGCGACGTCTGTCGATGCAGAGTGAACTATATACAGAGTCGAAAGGAAGACGGGTGTCTCAAAGGTAATGACAGTTCATTTTCCTTTCTAAAATATAATCTAAAAAAAAAGTGGTTTACAAGTTAATGCAGATCTCATTAGAGTCTACAACATTTTTTTTAGAACGCTTAACAGTGTTCCGTACAGCCTATGCCAGAAGGAACTGCCATGTCGTGTCAATACAGGTAAGCTCTAATGTCAACAGCTGCAGACAAGATCGGCGACCCATGTTCGGAGAACGAGCAATGTACCATGTTCCTCGGGAAGACCACGTGCAGCGTCGAAGGCCACTGCAGCTGTCTCCCCGGGTACCACCACATCCCGCCCAACAGCAAGTGTTTCCCGGACATTGGTAAGTGCGAACTATTTTGTGGGGTAATATTATGAGTGGACTGAAGTGGCTCACGACGCCGTCTTGAGCCTATCCTGTGCGACTGAGACGAAAGAAATAACGCCCACTGAATAGAATACAATGCAGCGAGGGGTTCATACAGCCCTGATGATGGAGTCAGTACGTTCCTTCGAGACGCTGGCATCTATCTACAAGTCCACACGGGGTTACAACCAAGAAAAACATTCCTGTGTATTTTAAATCCTGAAGAGCACTTTAATCGTTACAGGACTGGGTGGAATGTGTGAAGACAATGCTGAGTGCGCGGTACCATCTGCTGTGTGCAGTGCAGGAATATGCAGCTGTGGATCGGGTTTGATCCCCGATGACGATAACACCATGTGCACAGGTAACGCTGACTGCATTAGTCTCATGATAAGACATTGATCAACTACAGACTTAGTAGAACCATTAAATACGTGTTTCATTACAGGTGACAATGGAAAGAGAACGGCTGAACACGGTTTAATTGTTGTGCTGTTATCCCTCGCTCTACCCAGATTATTTGAATATTTAAAATCGTCAACGTAAATAAGTGCAAACAAAATGATTCACAACAGTTTCCATGACCAACCCATTGTTTAATCGTGAACAACAATATGCAGCTAGATGTCCAAAGAAGAGAAAAATTTACATCCGGCAACATAACACCTCGTCAAAGTGAAAGTCGATTTCAGTGTAGTCCCTTGATACTTGCCGACGCGAAAAAGCCGGACCTCAAAAGAAAACAGTTACTTCCCACATGCTATTTCCTTTCTGACCACTGTCAAAAACACATCCCACACACCAGCCCTATAAACCTCAGTACCTATAAAACATTTTCTTCTGGACACGTACGTAAGAAATAAGTAGATCTGCGTCCCTTAAATCAGGGGGTAGCTTAAATATGCTAGTTTCTGCATGAAGGAGCGTCGACTACAAACACTTTGCCTTGGAAATTACGAATTAGATTGCTGAACCAGAGCATCCGGACACCATCTTACTGACGAGTGACTTTGCGAACCTGAAAATAACTATACCACTTACACATTTCAGGTGTTGTTAAAACATGCAATTACGACTCGGACTGCGTCGCAAATGCGTACTGCAAGGAACAGAGCTACTGCCAGTGTAAAAAAGATTTCATAATCTACGCTGCTGATGCGAACAGTTTCTCATGTCTTGAAGGTAAGGAAACGACGTCACATGCCTTCGCAAGACACGTTAAATGCAAGGGCAGTCTCTGTGCCAGGATATGGACCTCTCTACGATTCCAGAAGCCAACAAATTACAAAGGAAATGTGATCATTTAAAGGCCGGTGGAAACGTATGTTCAACCCACGATAATGTTCAGTAATTCTATACATTTTGCCCACGATTCTAAGATTAAACAGCTACTGATATTACAAAAACTTAAAATGTCCTCCTCTTTTTTTTAAAGAAACTTCCTGTCATAACTTGTATCTTGTATCTTTTCATGTTATAAACGAGATACCTCGCTGAGAAAAATCATTACTTGTGCTATAAGCGTCATTAAATTTTATAATAATCCGTTTAAAAACAGAACTCTCCTGTCATAACCTTGCGTCTCAATAATTTGCAATTTTTCTTAGCAATTTAAATTATTAATCGTCGTTGCAATTCACAAAAAAGAAAGGCATTTGTTTTTTAACTTCGCCTGGGAATTAAAAGGTTGCAAATAACATTAGTGAATCTCTCTCGCTACACGCCATGTATGTCGCTTGGGGGGAGAGGCATATAGCTCCTACTTATTCTTGACCTCGGCACTAGATGGGGGTAAGTGGTCAGCATCACGCCCCGGCCGTGCTTTAACCCTGGGAAGGGACCCCGGTACCCACTGGATAGGAGAGCCAGTCTGGACGCAGAGGCTAGAGGAAAAATCCTCGAACCCCGGTCGTCCAGCTATACTGACTGAGCTATCCCGACTAACATTTCACAATGGTAGTCTGAGATTAAAAACTTAAGTGTGGTTTCTCGAAGATTCTGATAACCACACTTTGACGTAAAGACCGTTCTCGATCCAACAGAAGCCATTGTTCTGGGCGATGCCTGCGAAGCAGACATCCAGTGCACGAAACCTTTCGGGAGCTACGCCAAATGCGCTACCAGAGAGGGAGGTTTTGGGACATGCAAGTGCATGGCTAACGCTCACTTCAAAGATGGCAGGTGTTACGAGACGTCATGTGAGTAGTCCGTGGAAGTTACAGGAAGTACGTTCCTTTCGAATACTTCAGTCTGTAAGGCGAGGCCAGTAGAAACACAGACTCTTCGCTTTTCGCACTCAGTTATTTTTGTGATTTTTTTTTTAAAAAATATGGTTTTATGTATTTTTACTTCTAGACCAAATTCTTTACTGACTTGCGGAAAAGTTTCTGAATTTTTCCTTACGTAGGAATGTGTTTTCTCCCGCAATACATTAACATCTGAATAAACAACCCAACTTTTTGGTTTTTTTTTTCGTACATCCCATATTGCACAGTCAAATAAAAAATCTATAAGGACAAGGCTTACCCTTGTTTTTATCCACTGCCAACTGTAAAAAAAACACTAAGAAAATGGTTCCTTATGCAAACCCACCCACAGGCTTCATACATCGAAGTGAACTCAGAATGTGCCACAGGCGATATCCTCACAGAGGTCACTTGTTTCAGTGATTGGAGGGAAGTGTAAAGTTCATAACAACTGCTACCTCGCGTCCGGGATGCCTGCCTACTGCGACAAGAGCGAGTGTACGTGTCCGAACAGCCACCATCCGAACCAAAATGGCACGGACTGTATCAAAACAGTTTGTAAGTTTCAGAACGGTGCGTCATTGATTAACTCCACTTACAGCGGCAAAATACAGGTAAAAAATAAGATAAAGCTATCCAGCTGCGCGCCATGTATGCGCTCAGGGGGAGAGGTGGTATAGCTCCTACTCATTCTTGACCTCAGCACTAGATGGGGGTGAGAGGTCAGCATCACGCCCCGGCCGTGCTTTATCCCCTGGAAAGGACCCAGGTACGCATTGGACAGGAGGCTGGGTGGGCCCCAGAAACGGTCTGGACGCAGAGGATAGAGGAAAATCATATAAAATGCCACACATGTATTGCAGTATTTTCTAAAGGGCCTCGCGGTTGGCTACGTCGCTGGGTACAGACTCAAGGTCACATGTTACTATGACAATTGAATCACCAAGTGTTGTACTGCTCTGCTCACAGACCTAGACGGACCATGTCAGACTGACCAGGAGTGCGTCACTGAGAACTCGAGGTGTGGCGACGTCTGTCGATGCAGAGTGAACTATATACAGAGTCGAAAGGAAGACGGGTGTCTCAAAGGTAATGACAGTTCATTTTCCTTTCTAAAATATAATCTAAAAAAAAAGTGGTTTACAAGTTAATGCAGATCTCATTAGAGTCTACAACATTTTTTTTAGAACGCTTAACAGTGTTCCGTACAGCCTATGCCAGAAGGAACTGCCATGTCGTGTCAATACAGGTAAGCTCTAATGTCAACAGCTGCAGACAAGATCGGCGACCCATGTTCGGAGAACGAGCAATGTACCATGTTCCTCGGGAAGACCACGTGCAGCGTCGAAGGCCACTGCAGCTGTCTCCCCGGGTACCACCACATCCCGCCCAACAGCAAGTGTTTCCCGGACATTGGTAAGTGCGAACTATTTTGTGGGGTAATATTATGAGTGGACTGAAGTGGCTCACGACGCCGTCTTGAGCCTATCCTGTGCGACTGAGACGAAAGAAATAACGCCCACTGAATAGAATACAATGCAGCGAGGGGTTCATACAGCCCTGATGATGGAGTCAGTACGTTCCTTCGAGACGCTGGCATCTATCTACAAGTCCACACGGGGTTACAACCAAGAAAAACATTCCTGTGTATTTTAAATCCTGAAGAGCACTTTAATCGTTACAGGACTGGGTGGAATGTGTGAAGACAATGCTGAGTGCGCGGTACCATCTGCTGTGTGCAGTGCAGGAATATGCAGCTGTGGATCGGGTTTGATCCCCGATGACGATAACACCATGTGCACAGGTAACGCTGACTGCATTAGTCTCATGATAAGACATTGATCAACTACAGACTTAGTAGAACCATTAAATACGTGTTTCATTACAGGTGACAATGGAAAGAGAACGGCTGAACACGGTTTAATTGTTGTGCTGTTATCCCTCGCTCTACCCAGATTATTTGAATATTTAAAATCGTCAACGTAAATAAGTGCAAACAAAATGATTCACAACAGTTTCCATGACCAACCCATTGTTTAATCGTGAACAACAATATGCAGCTAGATGTCCAAAGAAGAGAAAAATTTACATCCGGCAACATAACACCTCGTCAAAGTGAAAGTCGATTTCAGTGTAGTCCCTTGATACTTGCCGACGCGAAAAAGCCGGACCTCAAAAGAAAACAGTTACTTCCCACATGCTATTTCCTTTCTGACCACTGTCAAAAACACATCCCACACACCAGCCCGATTTACAATCTAAAGTCCAGTTCGCATCCATCTCAGGTAGCCTGTCCGGAATTGAACAGGCTGTCACAAAACGAATAACCTCGACTGTCTCATATAATTCGACAATAAATGACCTAACTTCCAATCACCATAGCAAACAAAGCTTACCTGAGTGATGCGCCAATGGATATCTGCAGTCTTTATTATAACATGACTATTCTGTTAATCCTTGAAGTAATGTTAGGTTATATCACGATCTTCAGTAACAGAAGACACAGGATTCATTGTCACTTTATCACTGGTATTCCTAGTCTCATGATACAATATGGCAGCTCACAATATTCAGAGACTGTTACACGAGATTTATGTACATTTCCGATGTAAGAAGAGTAACATTTCAATAAACGGCATAAGCTACCAATAAAAGCATACTAGCCTACATAACGAGCTATGTATAAAACAAAATCCAAGCTAAAATAAAATCTTTAATTCAATCGGCGTCGTCACCTAATACAATTACAAATCACCACTTCAAAAACACGAACTCCAGCACGGCCACTGAATAGCAAACTCACCTTTCCACTGCATTTCAAATATCGGTCAACGGAACCGGAAACTACATTTATATCGACAATCTAAAAATCGACGTGACTCAAGAACACAGCGGAACACAACTCCCTCTAGCAGTCACACTTCCGCAAATCGATTATCGATTTGAATACACCTCTCGACTCTACAGACAAACCACTTTCGCTACGTTAAACCTCGATATTATTATACGTGCCATCCATTGGTTACGCTGTCAAGTGTAAACTTCTACAACTAGCGTTTTTACATTGCATACAGTTCGATGGACAAATAACTCTGATCTTTCCTTTCCTATGTACGGCGTCTAAAAATTAACATAATCATTTACCTGCTTAATTTAACCTTTAATGCCAAGTGGTACAAACATGTTTCACTAGCTCCTCAATTTATAAGACTGAACATTTGTTTCGTATAATTATCAGTGTAAACGGCAACTATTTCTATAAACAGATTCAACAAAGTCATTTTCGTAATGGAAAAGTGTTGAGCTTTTCTTTGCGTATTAGATTTTTAATACGTTAATTTTGTTACTCTATTCTCACGATTAGAACACCAATTTCCAACAACACATCTATGACACTGAAATACAAATTAACATATAAAATGTCCAAAATTTCACTCGGTAACTTAGCTGCTTTCTAGTAGCAACATCACACAACACGCACGTCAAGCCCAATAAAAGTTTTATGTGTGGCACACATGTATACACACAGAACCAAATTGAAAATAAATGGCATGTGAAAGTTTTAAACTGATTTTTCTGTGCATTTTCACATCTAGTAAACCCAAAATAAGATCGTGGAAATTCTGTATGACCACCATTTTATCTGGATGTATGCAGAATAACTATGGGTAATGGAATACACATTAAAGACGTCACACATCAACAAAGAATAGCGAGTATGAAATAATACGTACTGAAGTAATTTATTTTCATAATGAGAATAACTACAAATCTGTAATTTTATACTAGCTATCCTAATAAGTGCACTTTTCAATTGTGTACAACAGTGTTCTATAAACAAAGCAATATTATCAGTTCATCATTATGCGAGTAACAGCAAAACAAAACCGTGAAACCCAGTAGAACAGAATATATGCAACAGCAAAGTATGTGGCGACATCCCACAGCACTGAAAACCACTTCCTTTGTCCTGCTACATGAGATCTTTTAATGTAATACACAAGCACGTAACTTTACAAGGCAGGAACTACCATCTCAGAACCCGCTCAAATATTGCAGAATATATAAATTAAAGAAAAACAAAGCAGTACCGGCACAAGCCGTAGTCTGTCAGGAGTTCAAGGTCATAATATTTAAGATAAAAATCAACACATAATTTCATATAAATAATAAATATAAAATAATTGTATAATTTATACTCTCCTACAAAAAAAAAGTATAAAATTTTAAAACCACAGAAGAATTAAATAAATTCATTATAGGATCGTCACAAACAATATCAAAATTTCCTCACGGAGGTGTGGAGCCGGACATTCGCATAATAAAAGACCAAATCTCCTCGTGATTTTGAATCAATTTTATTCAAGTTATGTCATTATATGTCTGTTGTCCATGTTAGTACCAAACAATCACCACAAAACTGTAAACCGCTGCATCTGTGTTATGTTTAATTTTATGTATATATATTCAGTCGTTAACCCTGTACACTAACCAATACTTAAGACTCGTAAAATCTAAGACTTTATCCATATATCTGATTTAAATATAAAGCTCCTAACAGACTAATGGCTGAAATAAATCTGGGCATACATGACGCTAATTCTACTTAAAGAAACGGTGGATAATGATCGCTACTTCTACGGAAATTATTGCTAAGTCAAAACACCTCATCACCAACAGTCTTAAGTAATTCACAAATACCTGGCAAGTACATCTGTACAACCTGCCAGCATATAAGTAAACATTTAAATATGGCCTTTCCCTTGAACTTGCTTTGCACAGAGAATAATTTTAAGCACATTACAGTCCTCCAACGCATAAGCTTCTACTATTTTACCTGGAAGCAGCACAGTCTACATTCTCTCATGTATTTTCATTAATTTCCCCAATGACTTATTTTTAAATATTATTACCCCATTTAATTCCAAGTGGCGCAGTGGCCGCGCGGTCTGAGGCAAGGACCTCGTGCGCCTGGCCGCCGCGACCGTAGGTTCGAGTCCCACTCAAGGCATGTTTGCTTGTCGCCCCTTCCAGAATGGTGGGTAAAGACTGGTCACGGAAACCAAGGCGAAACCACCGTGGTTCTTTCGCGACGAAACCCCGATGGGGTCACGACGGCCAAGCTGACCATAGACAATAAAAAAAAAATTCCAAGTATGGACATCCTATACAGTATCAGCACATAAACAAACCTCTAACTGGAGCTAGAATATTGAACAAGTGACTTCTGTTTGTGTTGTCAAGCATTACTCTGCAGCAGTCTTACGACACATTGGACAGGTTTCGGATTCCTGAAATGAAATGAGATACTTGTTTACTGTTGCATAAGAGTTGAATCAGAATTATTCTGATTCTGTCACATTTGCCTTCACTAATAATACCACAGTCTTACCTACGAACAATCCTCAGTCACTAAACTGGAGAAAAAAATGAAGGTGGCTGCCTTCTGGGTTGTAGCGCTGTGTAGTCTGATAGAAGCTTACCAACATTTCAGAGGTCCTTGCTGCCTCCATTATCAGGGCAACAAGACCAGAATACCAGACTACATGGCACTACAACCCGGAGGAGAGCCGTCTTCGTATCCACAGCCATAAAAACCTCAAATCCCGATGGAGAAAAATTTGTGCACTTTAACTTCAGAAAGTTCTATGCCACAGAATTTTTTGAAACATCACAGTCTTCACTGCACCAGGCGCACACAAGAGGGCTTCTTCCTGGTTTGAACCTTAAAGTTTTGAAATCCACACTGCCAAGATATAACCAAAGCTGCATTTACTTGAGGCCAATTTAATGTGAAATCATGAAGATCATGTGTAACGCCATTATTCCGTTCTTTATGGGCACCACGGTCAAACTATCCTTAAACAAAGAGACTAGCATAACGAGGGCAACTTCCAAAACAACAAGTCTACTAAGGGAGATTTGAGGCTGTCACATTTCTTAATAAAATACTTCAAATTCACAAAAGAGGTTAAATATGGTAATGGGACAATTGCAGCACCCCAAACAAAATGGAAATGACACCAGAAGAAGTACTGCATCCTTTATTCATTCAAATTACGTACACTTCGTTGTAAGGTGCAATTTCGTATCTACTTTTAGAAATATTCCCAACTGCATTACCAAACTAAACTACAAAATACCTATTAATTACACTGAAAGTGCACGCTCATAACCTGAAGAGAATAATGGAAGCAAAATGCTATTTTATATTCACATTCTACATTTGGCAGTTACGAGTCAGTAATCTTTTTTTTCCACCAATTACTTCCAACTACTTTCCTATTAAAAATACAAAAATTTACTTTTACCTTGAACCATTCACGGATACAATGGAAATGGAACCTGTGTTGACATGACAGAGTCGTTATGTAATTAGTCAACTCTTCGTAACAAATTACACATCTGGTGACCTCTTCCTTTGGAGACTGCTTACGTCTACGTCGAGACGAATTTGTTGTACATCCAGGCCTGCTGTTTCCATTGCTACCACTGAGAGTACCAATTTTGGCTATTATCACAGTTTATACAAAACAAAACCGGAAATAAAAAAGACAGGTAAATTCAGACATGAATGTTGCTTTATTCCAAGATTACAACTAATGAATATAAACATCTTACATTGATGTAAATGTGACAAAATTCTTAGAGTAAAGAAGGAATTATTACACACCAAAAATAAGCAATTTCATCAGAATCTTAAAACCTTTTGCATACCTTGCAGTGTATTGATACATAAAATCATGCATACGAACAAAACTGTTTACACTTTGAAAAGACACTTAGTGCCAAACGCGTTTCGACTTCAAGCGGTCAACATCGGTGGCAACAAAATTAATTCATATTGAATCATACAATTCATAAGACGATGGTTTGTTACAAAGCATAAAAGGTCGCACTTGATAAAACCATACTTTATGTAATACCACAGAAAAATGGCAAACAAACTCAGATATCTTCATTACAAGTACAAGATACAAACATAACCTTCAGGTGCCACTGACACTACCCTCAGCAAATATCAAAAAGAAGTTTACTATACTGAAACTGAGCTATACTCCCCCCCCCCCCCCCCAAACTATCAATAGTCTAAATTATGATATGAAAAAGTCTATAAGCCAATATCAAGATAGTAACTCCTATCTCACTCCTACTCCATAGAATAATTTACCTTCAGCAAAAATTCTCAGCTATTATAAACGCTTGTAAGCAACAGTGGGTATGCTTTGTGTAATAATTTTTGCTGCATTGCTGTAGCAGACTGTAAATCAATGTCATAACTATGTAATTTATATTTGTATAGGAAGGAAGTATTGTGGTATTACATGTTCCACATCCTTTGGGTTAGTTAGGCCTATGAAGCATGTATGGAATTTAAATAACTTCTATTCAAAAATGCTTGCTGCGACTTAACCTCACACTTAATTTTTTTATTTTAGCAGAAATACAGCACACGTATAGTAACAAACTGAACTCTAAAGTTATCAATTCGTCAATGTTTATTTTGTAATGCCTAAAATAAAAATTCTTACCGCTGATTCTTTCCAGGTTCTCTGCTTGGTGATCTGTTGTTATTATGATAATTGTGATGGGGACGTTCTGTGTCTGTCTGGCTGAGAAAGTAAACCATCGCAGCCACTGCAACTCCTACACCTAGAAGAAAACCTAAGGCGATCCCCGGATAAGGCATATTGATGAACTGTTTCGATCGTACACGTACTTTATGTGTCAAACACAACTACAAACAGTTGAAAGTCAGCTGCTTGGTTGGCTGGTGTTGATCGAATTCTGAAATTCTATGTATACATTGTGTTCTAGTCCTAAAAATAACAACCATGTTATTAGAGCCCTTTCATGAAAGAATTATGTGCTTATTTTTTGTACAAATACTCTTTCTGTTCGCTATTGTTTGGAAGGAAATACAAAATTTGCTACTTCTTCTGAAAAATAAATTGGAAATTTCTGAACAATTTCGATATGATTCGATACATCGATAATTGATCGAATTCTATACCGTTGCGGAAAGAGACATCTGTGGAGAAACTTGTGAATTTCATAGGCGAACAAGACTGCTGGTTGAACGCTAGGAAGCAGTACTTGCAGACGGCGGGAGATACAAAGGCATTTCAAAAACGATATTAATCAAAAATCGGGCCAAGTCTCTTAATAAACGTAAAAGGCTTTTCCTCCAGAACGTCTCTTTTTGGTTCACGTGAAAAAAAAATAAATGTAGTGTTATTATTACTATTATTTATCTTGAAATCTGTTGTATTTCATCTAGGTTGTAGGTTATTTGACAATTTTTATTTATTTATTTAGTGTTCTGTCTGACGACAGGTCCACATGAACAGGATCCTTCCATCCTTTTCTCGGACTGGGACCTGTTCATATACGTTCTTGGCAGATGACCCAGAAGTGGTTTGCCATTGCCTTCTTCTGTGTGTGAATGGAGTAATTGTTGGGATGCCACGGAGGAAAACTCCGTGTTGCCTAGACCACGGCCTTGCCCAACACAGATATTCGTAAAATTGGCATAGAAAAAGCGAGGGACATATGCCGCGATGCACGGATATTAACACAATAATTTCACCGCGTATAACCAAAACCGCGAGGAGCGTATGCTGTATAATAGGTTTTGGCTTTCAGCAGTAAGGAAAATGACTTTCACGTGTGAAAAATGCGACTGATTGACAATGTACCACATGGTGGAAGGAACTGTACAGTTGCGGGACATTTTCCATCAAAAGAATTTACAAAGGTCCTTCAGAACTAAATCTGATACATTAATTTGTATAATATTTATTACTTTATATGTACATTATTAGTTGTTTTTTTTCCAGAATAATTCTTTATCACGTGACAACCTAAGAGACTAAGAAAAAATTGCGGAAATTTTACCTTGAATAGTATCCAAACGTGGAAGTTGTGGTTCCACAATGATGTGACGAAATTTTTGATGACTCCATCACATCATCACTTATTAAACAACTCCTCTAGTATCACTACGCTGTTCCATCAATGTAGTACGTCACTGGAGTCAATCCGTGATCAACATGTTTCGACTGTCACGCAGTTATCGTCAGGTTCCCTTTACATTACACTGCTTACGACACCGGACCGTTAACATGCAACAAAAACACAACAAAAGCAAAACAATAAAATAAAAATAAATAAAAAATAAATAAAATAATAAACACAACATGACATAAGGACGTAACCAAAACCACGGACAGCAACGATATAAGACCTGTAAATATTTGATCGTCTTTTTATTATCTTATTATAGTTTATCTTCGTCCAGTCACCAATCGGTGACCCTCATTCTACGCCGGTAAAAAGAACGAATCCAATGGCTCTCATAAATGTCATACCTCTTACCTGTCACTCCATGAACACTGAGCCTCCATTAAACAACACAGTCTTGTGACCCACCCGTGTCTCTCTCGATACTGAAATATGTTCTTACGAGACCCGCCGGTGTGTACAGACAGCTACTGTACCGGCACTGCGGTTCCATGGCTCCAGTCGATCGCTGCTTGGACTCGCGTTCGTGAAACCGTCCACATTCACGGAGACATAGGCAACGGAACACGAGCAAGATTATTCTGGACGCGTCGAGAGGCGGAGAAGCTCGCGGTACTCGACATGCTGAGGTCACGTGACCGCGCCGTGAAGCTGACGGCCATGTTGTTAGTGTGCTTCAGCTTCCAGCAGAGGATGCCCCAAAATGCCCTCCGCAGTTCTCGTGACGAACACGCGTATATGAACGGATTGATGCAGCTGTTGAAGTAGCCCAGCCAGAAGGCGAAGTTGAAAAGACCTGCTACGTCACAGGACGGGCAAGCCGCGTCTGCAAAGAATTAAGAGTTGACATTACACTGGGACTGGCTTCGGGGCCTCACGATCGGGATTCGATTCACTGCAGGGCAAGCGACATTTCTCTCTACCACTGCGTCCAGATCAATTCTGAGGTCCGCCCAGTCTCCTATCAAGTGGGAAACGTTCCACTTGCCCCGGGGGTAAAGCGGCCGAGGCGTGAAGCTGATCACTTACCATACAACTAGTGTCCACGTTAAGAATATATGGCGTTGCACGTCCAATTTACGTCACGGCATGGTGATTAATTAGCATAGAAACAGCTTTGGATTTTGACTCTCCTCGATGCTTCACTGACTGCCAAAAAATGACAACGAATATAACTATTAGAAGTCTGCCCATGCCTGTGTTCGTATCATTTTTGCCTTCCTCTCTTCCTCACCCTTTCTCATTTATTACTTATTATTTATCTTTTTCCTCTCTCCTTTCAACTCTCTCTCTCTCTCTACCTCTCTCTATTAATGACAACTGTACGAGCAGCAGACCATCAGTTCAGTTACTTTGCCCGCGGCAGTGAACAAACATCACCCAAACTAAAACATCAGTCTATTATGACTGTCCCTGTTAATTATCCCACCCCCCACACCCTAAGTAAACGCTGATGTAACTTCCCAAACTTAACTTACAATTTCAAATCTCTTTTATCACATAACAGAGAATTAATTTCTACTGAGTGCGCTGTGGTACAGCAAAGCGTTTTTATGTAAATGGTAAGAGGAAATGATGACACACAAAATGTTTCGCACGAACAATAAGTTTTCATTACACGCCAAAAACTCAGTCATAAACTTACAATCGAGTTTCTACCATTAGTAACTAACTCCCTGAGAGCAGAGTCCTTCGTGATAAGCTTCTAGTCGCTCAGATTGTCGAGGAATTTCCCGAATTTTGTGAAACCCAAAGGTTCATTACCGTATTCACAAAATCCCTGTGCCAGGTAAATCTAATCCACACCCTCAAACACTATTTCCTTAAATTCAATTTTAATATTATCCTCCCATCTACTCCTATGTCTTCCGAGAGGTCTCACTCGGCCTCTCTCATATCCCCATGCGTGCTACATATCCAGCCCATCTCCTCTTTCGATTACCCCAAAATAATATTTGGCTGAATACGAATTAAGACACTTTTAATGACGCAGTCTTCTCCAGGTTCCTGTCACTTCACCCCTATCAGGTCCAAATATTCCCCTCAGCACCCTGGAACGAATTAAGAATCTGCGTTTCTGGAGAGGGGGAGTCGAAAGTAGACCCAGTAGAGTAGCAAATCTTATCACAAAACGCATCGCAAGGTTAGGAGTAAAGTCGTTTCTACCACGAAATCTGCCGCCTCCTGAAGACAAAATTACTCGGTCGACACGAGCCAATGGATCGAACTGTTTCCGCTGAGACGCCTCACATCCTCAGAATTGTTCATACGTACCAATGGGCAGCAGAACGAAGAAAGGGAACCAGCAGAGTAGGAACCCCCCCACTACGATACCCAGCGTCTTGGCAGCTTTCTTCTGTCGCCGGAACTTCGCAGCACGGCCGTACAGCCCCGCAATTGTCAATCTCCGTCTCTCCTCGCTGGAAGGCCACGCGTCACTTCCTCTGTCGTACAGCAGCGTCGAGCCCTGAAAATTAAACAGAAACTGTTGGACGTTAAGACAGATAATAAACCCCAAGCGCCCACTGTACCATGCCCAAAAATATTCTTCCAGTTCCCAGGGTCTGTTTAACCCTTTAAACGCGAAGCTCGGCAAATCGTATTTAAGAATCCAGTCCGTACCGCGAAGAAAACACAACACTTCACCATTACAAAGTTCGACTGGTTAACGCTGTTTAAGAAAATAATCGCTGTTTATTCTGGGCATCATAGTTCGTCTGATTAATATTTAAGAATCCAGTCCGTACCGCGAAGAAAACACAACACTTCACCATTACAAAGTTCGACTGGTTAACGCTGTTTAAGGAAATTAACATTATTAATTATTTAAATGTAGTTACCACTGGGCTATAAATGTTTAATAGTCATTCATGTTTTTACGAACGAAATGACCAGGTTCCTGACTTAATAAAATTTCGCAAATGATACTACTTCTTGGTGAGATTTCAGGTTCTCAGATCTCCTGGATGTTGGGCCGTGTTGTATTAATTTACCGACTTTTCAGAGGTCCTTGCTGCCTCCATCATCAGGGCGATGAGTCATGGCAGGGACCTTTGAAATATCCGTGAACTTATACCCAACTATTTGACGAAACAAGCCAGAAAACAGCCATCTTCGGACTCAGGGCCGTGGGAAACTCAAATCCTACGAAATAATCGTTGTTTAGAGTGAGAATCATATGAAGTCGACAATTGCAAAATAAACAGCAGCTGACTGTTGAAGCAGATCAGATACACAGTTACGAATAGACTACTTAGGGGTGAATCTAAGCTTTGTTATTCGTCAAGTGTCATTTCAATTGAAAAACAGCACAAGTATCAGATCGTGCCAGTGAAACTCAAATACCAGAAGCAGGAAAATCGCCCAACGCCTTTCGAAACACACGACCGATAGTCGCGGGAACGGGTCATGGCTATCTTCTGGGAGGTTAACAGGTAAACCGGTTCAGAGCATGCGCCATAAGGAAACTAGTAACATCTTGCTGGTATATTTGCCTCATTCTTTCATAATTCAGCACTGCGTAGGATGTTACAGCAAGAATAAGGCAACTTTGTTGTAGCTTGTAAGTGTCCCGATATGGACAGAGAAATACACAATCACATACATGAATCTGAGTAAAGAAACCACTTCACAAGCGAGGTTCCCTTGTAAGCATGCAATAATTACAAAATGTCCGGCCCAAATTAGTGAAAATTTGTATGAAAAATACGTCAAAAGCACGACATGTAAAACGTAAATTTATTAAAATTGTAAAACTTTGAAAACACTGTGAACTATTTTAATATTCTCAATGTTTTATATACACTGAGTAATTTTGCATAATTTGAAAATTAAAAAAAAAATAGATTTCTTGAAATTTTTATTTATTAAATTTCAAGATTTTATTATTTTTTCAAAACCAAAAGTCTTTTTAATTTGTTTACATTTTGATAATCTCTTTCATATTGACCATTTTTTAAATTATGAAAATTATTAAACATTTTAAAATATTTTATAATTCATAAAATTTTGAAAAGTTTTAGAAACGCTTTCTTACGATTTATAAAAAAAATTTGAACACTGTTAAAAATTGCAAAATGTTTCGACATTTTTAAAAAGTTAAAACAAATTCAAAATTTTTAAAATTGTCAATATTTTAAAAAAATATCAAATTATAAAAATTTAAAAAATATTTAGATACACTGAAAAATTCTCAATAGTTTTTCAAAATGCTAGCGTTCCAATAAACAAGGGTGACATGGACTATATGGGATCGAAATCACAGAAGTACAGACTGTGTGACCCACATCCTGGAACAAAGAAGTTATTACAGTTTATAACGTTATTGAACTTTACATCCGTTTCCGATTATCCAGTTTGGATGCCAGACGCTCATGTAGGGAATAAACCACTCGCTAAAAATAGAAGAACATGGAAGTATCATATTACAATGGATCACAGAAATGGGTTGTAAGGCTTTTGGATCGATTCAACTTTCTGAAGACAGGGACTACTGAACGCTGTAATGAACCTTGGTGTTCCAGAACATACAGGGCATCTACTGACCACGTAAGAGACTATGAACTTGTCAGTACAGTGTGTGCTCCATGGATCTAATCTATCACACAAGCACACCAGATGGGAATTTCGTCATACGGGTCTTTCGTCCATTCGAGGCCAGGGCATGGGATAATCAAATCAGAGAGAGAGGTGTTACGTGTCTGCGGTCACAAAGCTGTTGGCTTATTGCTAATGACACTAACAGTTCCCCGTAGAGAAAGCAAGACGAAGCAGTTGCAATAGATCGAAAGCAACTACATTAAGAATATTTTAAAAACCATCGTAGATACGTGCTTAGAGCTCACCGATTCACAACGGAACATTTTCATGTTTTTCCATAAATAAATAACTCCTTGATAGCAGAACCCGCACCAAAGCCCGCCACCGGCCACGATCCCGAGCCAGCTCCATCTAATCACCACCCCAAACACCACCTCCCTTAGATCGATCTTGATGTTATCCTCCCATCTCCTTCGAGGTCTACTCAGCAGTCGTTTTCCAAAAGAATTCCCTACGAAAATTTTGTATGTAACTCTTGCAACTTCAGCCCTGAAGACGAAGCCAGTATTTTTCTCCGAAACGTTGGTATCCACGCACGTGTCCGCAGAGTATCATTACTTAGAAGACCAGCATTGACAGTAATATATTTCCGGGTTTCGTAAAAGATGGAGAATTTCTGGACTAGCTGAGTGACTACCAGCTTCTCAAAAAGGACTTTGCTCCATTGAGTTTGTCTAAAATTATGTTGTTACCTAGAAATTTAAGTGGAGAACGGCACTGTGATGATTGTGCTGTGCCTTGAAACAATTTTCTGCACAGTCACCAACTTATCGCTGAATGTTTTCGTATAGAATTGCAAAGTAAACAAATGACTAGCGACAACCAAGTGTTACCTGAAACCTTGGAAGTGAAAGTGCAGGCTTCCTTTAAAAATCTAGTGTAAATGAACTTCAAGGACCGAAAGTAAACAGACTTCGAGGAAGAGTGACCTCAGTCCACAAGATACAATTCTTGCACTGTGTATCAAATTCTAGGCCAGTTCGGAGGACAGAAAACATTTCTAGGTTCTTTGTTGATATAAAAAAATTGAAGACAACCACTCCTCGGCTTAAATTACGTACAAATTAACTTTTCTCTGCTTATACCAAAATACGTCTTACATTTGCTACAGGCTGCTGTCTGTTCCCCTCAGACATGACAACAAATTACAAATAACAACTATCATTTCACTTCAAGACAGAAATTTAAGCTTATGGGCAAAAATGCAAGCCTGCACTGTAACAGAGTAATTCTCGAGAGGCCGATGGTCACACAACTATTCAATAAATACCCGGTCCCCCAGTTTCTTTAATATAAATTTTAATATTGTCCTACGATCTACATAAATGTCCAACAAGTAGTCTCTCCCCTTCGAGGTTTCCCTACCAGCATTTTGGATGCATATGTCATCTTCACCATGCCTGCTACATGTTCCGCCAACTTCGTCCTCCTCGATTTCATCAACGAAATACTATTTGATTGAATTAAAAAAAATACGAAGATCCTACTTACGTAATTCATAATGACGCCTAATTTAGAAAATACGCTCTATATGTTTTGTACGTGCGTCTAAATATGAATGGTCACGTTCGAGTCATACGGGGAACCCTAAACTAAAGTGATTTCATTTCTATACTAAAATTTCCGCTAACAAACACAGGAACACGTCCGGTACGTTGATCACCCACGTTCTACCCACGTCAGCCGGCAATTAATTGTATTATCACTGTTCCAATTCACATCATATTTCATTTGTTACAGAACAGCGTGTTTGATAATTTTAACTGTGTTTCATCCTCCTCGAAGCGTCACTCCTTCAATAACATCTGTACAGTGGATGCAAAATAAGTCCGAGCTTGAGCTGCTTCACAGTAAGAATGGTAGTGAAGACTGAAAGAGCAAAACGGCAAAGAGTCTGTCCGGAAAAGTACAGAATGACGGAAAAGAATTAATTTTCCTCTTTTAATTTCAACAGTCGGTGGAACTTTGCTACACTGACTTTTATACTACAGTCAGTTTTATGAACCGAAAAAAGTACAAAGCACTTGCAATGAAGTTACAAACTTTGAACTCAACGCGCTACCTCTACAGCCCAAACAGCGAACGAAACCACGAGTTATTTCGCTAGCAATGTAACTCACTTTTCCGGGTCTTGTGCCACACTTTCATTTACTTAATCTCAAACCAAAAGGAATAAACTATAAGACACACTGTATGGAGATATTACATGACGTAAGAGTTTAGGTCAAAAACTGTCCCCACATTTTCACTATTTAACATATTTCTTATTATTAGTAATTATAATTAATTTTTAAAGTTAATTAAACTATTTTTCATTACTTCCAGCTCACTCTGAGAAACAAGGTGAACGCAAATATTTATTGAACAATAAATAAACTTCATACGTAAACTAACGCGACTGAAAGTAAACCTTCATTGTTTTTTTGTATTATGCAGGAGACGTACCATAATTCTAGCGATGGTCACTATGAAAACATTTACTGACATGCCAGTAAAATGGTGACTGAACCAGAAGAATCAAATTCTACGGAACATCCTCCCACAGTTCTGTGGAACTGAAGCTGAGCACAAGAAACGCTTTCAAATTGCCTGCCCTCCGCCTATATATATATGCGTCTCACGTGGTTCTGGTTAGTCCTAAATCAGTTCGCTCTGAAGATGGAGACACTAAATTTATGCGAAATGTTAACACGGTCCATATTAACGAAGGTGCAATCTGTACTAATGGGAATTAATAATAAATGCGTCATAAAATCGCAAGCACAATTAATAATTTATAGCTTTGCTAGTTTCAGCAAAACAATTGTAGCATTTGAAGTAAACGTTATTAGAAACTTTATAGTTTATATTAGTTCAATGCAAAGCTGAACTCCCTAGAAATTCTATTTTAAACCTGGTCTAACTTAATCTTTTACCTACTGAACCTAACTATTGAAACTTTACGATGCAAAGAGAGAGATGACACACGGGTCGCAGTTTTCGCTCGCTCACTCACACAGAGAGAGAGAGAGAGAGAGAGAGAGAGAGAGAGAGAAGTGGGGGTTTGTACTAGGAATGAAGCTACAATTTTAATGCACTGCCAATAATATTCAGGACTGAAAGTAACAAACAGCACAAAAGATCTGAGTACGGAAATCAATCTCACATCCCCATGTCCTCCCATTTCATAGACAGTATAAATACATTAATGTATTTTTCATGTTGGAAATTTGTCACAGGGAAAAAAAAAGTTCTTTTTGCACCGTCAGATTCTGGAATCCCGTATTTACAAAATGAGCTTATTTTTCTTCCATTAAACGTTTTTGCTTGCATTAATTAAAGTCTCACTTATTTTCTGCACGGAAATCCAAAAGCTGCCCGGCCGAATGAGTACAGAAATCATTAATGAGCAGTTTACCTGCGTGAAAAAGAATCCGACCTGTATTGGAGAAACAGCTGGTTCAGATCTACGTCTCAACCGCATATACCAATTTACTGTAGACCATTACATATCGAAGAGGATGGGATGTGAGGGGCATGTAGAACGCATAGAAGAGATGAGAAATGCACACAAAATTTTAGCTGAAAAACCTGAAACGACAGACCGCCAAGGATACCTAAGCGAAGGTAGGAGTATAATATTAAAATGGGGGCGATTTATTCTCCATATATTCTCTATACAGCCCTTAACCTTACGACGCGTGTTCGGAGACTCCCTATTGGCCCGGAACATTCTTCCCCTAATTCCTAGTCTCTAATTGGCTCAACCTCTTCAGTATTCAGTTACTCCAACCCTATATTAATCCTTCCACTTCTCAGTATCGCCACTTCAGCCCTGAAGATGGAAACAATATCGAGATAACCCACTTACCACAGCATCCACACCTGTTCTGGGACCTCATCCAGTCTCCTGCCCATTGGGTACCACGTTTTTCCTCGGGGTTAAAGCGGCCCAGAGTGTGAAGCTGACAACTCCACCCCTATATGTCTGCACCGCTCGGTGCAAACGTTAACCGCCACAGTCAACTTTACATGAACTACCTAACTAACTAGATGGCTTACGGAACCCGAAGGTTCATCACCGAATTAACCAAAGCCCTCCACCGGACCCTGTCCTGGGCCAACAAAATCCAGTCTCCTTGAGCTCCTATCTCCCATAGATCCCGCCTGAGATTATCCTCCCATCTACGTCTAGGTCTCCCCAGAGGTCTCTTCCCCTCAGGCTTCCCAAATAGTGGACCCAACCAAACAGATGGCTTACAGAACCCGAAGGTTCATCACCAAACTAACCAAAGCCCTCCACCGGTCCCTGTCCTGGGCCAACAAAATCCAGTCTCCTT